CCCCTCTAGTCGATATAACGCACTTTCAGAGTTCAAAATACCTCAGCAATTGTACCGATCATGAGAACCATACGACAAATGTTTCCAATGCATAAAATAGGGCCTCAATTTGTAGGAGTGCAAGTTCACACCACATACTAATAGTTTATACCTCGCGGAGGCAAACCAACCTGACTAGCAAAGTTGAATTTAGATACGCTAGTCTATCTTTACGATAGATGTCTTAGTATCATAATGGAATTATGATAATTAGATTTCATTGTTTAAACCAATCCACAATTTTTCATTTGAGAAACAGGTAGGAGATCTCATTTGCGCCAAATCTATATGAGCATGTCAGATAATCGAATCATACGCAAAAGTACAGTCAATAATATTTGGTTTTCTATTACTTTATTACTGAACCCAACTTTTTTTGCATGATAATACGTGTCTCATTTATATCATAAGGATCATAGTACAAGCCATGTACATACCGACCTGACAAAACCAAAAAGACAGCAGAACGCTAGTCTTTGCACACAGGAACACCAGCCAAGAAGTAAAACTACAAACAAGACCAAAGAATCTTCTGAGCTTGACACCAAAGGCCGTCACCTACCTCTGGCACCACCATAGCAGCCACCAAAGGAGAAAATGATGGATCACCTCCACACCCGAGCTCGACGCAGCTCCATCGCTGATATGCAGCTTTGCGGACCTCCAAGGTGGCTCGCCAATAAAGGCGAAGCCATTGCCGTTGAACGAATCAGACCGGGGCAACACCATGGACACGCCATCGAACTCCAGATCCATCACCCCCACGCAACTAAGACGTTGGAGGAGGAAACCATACCTGCCTGCCACGAACCACGAACCCAGATCCACCATCTTCCAGATGGCGTCGATGCGGACCACAATCTGCATCCGCTCCTAGACTACCTCCCAAGCTCCACGTCAGCGCTGGAGCAAACGCTGGCACAACGACGGAGCCCGAGGACACAGGTCCACCACGAGGATGCTGCCGCCGCCGCACCATCCTTGCTTGAACAGTCTGGTTTCCAAATCCACCCCAAAAGCGGATTGCCTCGTTGGGGAAGGATCTGAAGATTTATTAGTCGGCACCGCCATCGCCACCGCCGAAGCCATGACGATGAACAACCCAAAACCCTAAGAAACCAATGCCTAAAACAATCCGCACGCGTGGATCCGGCAACCCCCCTCACCACCAATGATCGAGGTCGTCAGCGGAGGGGAGCCGCCGAAGGACGGCGGCGGAGGAAGACGCGCTGGCAGCGGCAGGAGGCGAGATCGCCTTTCTTTCTTCTCCTGGAAGAAAGAAAGCCGTGTAGCAGAACGTTTTCAAGTCCTTTACTGAACCCAACTTGAATGTCACATTTGATATGCTCTAGAAGTTTCTACGAATATGGTTGCCTCATGTTCATGTACAGTAAAACCCACTATTAAAAATAATTATGTTAGAAATCTCTACCACAGCATTCAATAATTTTAAAAGATATAAGGACACATGCATAGATATGCAAATATATGTATATATATACTATACCATTTATACAATATAAGAAAATTAATTTGAATGATTTTTATAAAAAGGATGTTATTTTTTGGTAAACCGTACAACTTAAATTTTGCAGAAACAAGTATTTTGAATGATGTACATTACAACTGTATAACAACGAATAACATAACTATTATTTGGAAACATTATTATGTGGCTAAGTAATTGAAAATTATATTAATTAAAACTGTTACATGGTACACTTAGTTTAAAATAAGTATAAATGTTTGGTACAAAAAATAATTGTTTTACATTGCCTCGGGCTAAAAAATGGTTTGGACCAGCAAATACTAGTGAAAATAATTAGTAAAAACAAAATATATAAAATATCAAGTTAATTGGTATGGTGATGTTACCTTTTTTTCTGGACGCAATGAACTATCAAGCAGTCGGTGGTCTGATGGTGAGTGGTCAGCCTAATAATTTGTTGGTTAGCACTGTATGGAATTTGATTTTCAGTAAAAGAAATGGTGCTATAGTAGGAAAAAAGAGATGCATAGGTTATACCCACCGTGATTGCAGTCTGTTGGTGGTAGATCGGGATGGAGGCCTGTACATGGCATGTAGGTCTTGATGACATCCACAATTGATAAGACGGTTTTCTTCACCCTCTTATCTTCGAAGAGAAGACACGTGCAGGCCAAGGCATCAGAACTGGAGGTTGCAATCTTTAATACTGAACAACAATCATATCCCACCTCGGAACTTGGTCGCACTCAACACCCACTACAGTAACAAGTCCAGTTGCAGAGGGACAAACATCACGCCGCCGAAAGGACAACTGAGGGTGCTGGTCTGCAAAAGCACAAAGCACATGCAAGTAAAACAAAAATCCAAGGCATCAGAATTGGAGATTGTAATCTTTAATGTTGAACAACAATTTCTTACTTGCTCCCAACTTAGCAAAGGGGTTGTCAAGCCCTTGTCTTGCCAGTTATAAGGTTAAAAGCAAATAGATAGATAGTAGTATGGCAAAAGTAAAGAAAAAGAATAAGGAGCAATTTTGTAGGAGTTTGTATTGATGGAAGAATAGACCCGGGGGCGATAGATTCACTAGAGTTGGGCAACCGACAAGGTGACAAACTACAGTTGTGCAATTAACAAGAATAGCAATGATTATGACTACGGTTTGTTGATGCACAGACGGTGAACCAATGCAGTGCGGAGGGGAACTATTCACTTAAGATGGTTGACGAACGAAAGTATCCACATGCTAGAACGTATACTCGCAACGCAAGAGGCGCACAGCTTGTCTCGCGCGCATTTGCTGCATTCAAGCAGCTAGAAGTGGAGACATGGACCTCTTCATCCGTTTGCCTAGCTACATTATACATGTGTGTGGTTGTCTAGAAATATCGAGCAGGCGCCATCCGTCCATCCGTCTGCCGCCTATAATCACCTCGTCGATTGCCCTGCAATCTACCCGCTATACAAACTGCAAGCCCGGCCATAGCCGCATTCAACATCCTCCGCTCGCTTTCTCCTCTCTGCACCACACCCCATGGCCTCCTCGAGCTCCAAGGTCGTCTGGGACAGCCTCTCGTCTGAGTAGAAACAGGAAATCGCGCCATTGCGGCCGGCTGGCAAATTGGGCAGCAGACGGATACCAGCGTTACGACCAACCTTATGGAAGAGACGGCCGACGACGAGCTGGCAATGCCGGCATCACCATCAGCGAGACCCATGCTCACTATACCGAGATGGTGTTGCAAGAGCGGTAGGCCGCGTTCTGGCAGGCACAGGCCGACCAGGGTTATAACGTCCACTCCTCGACAAGCACCGGCGCAGCAACTCGCCGCTGGCACAGCCATCACGCCAGACGTGGACATGCCCGAGCAAGAGGCGTTGCTCGAGTCCTATCTCTTCGCCGTCGCCGCCCCTAAATGTGGAATCTTGATTGAAAGGTCATGTTTGTTCGTTCCCTTGTGTTGCTTCCTTTTTTCGGAGGCCTAAGTATTTTTTTTCTCGTTATATATTTCCAATTGGTTTGTTAGCTTTGGAAGTTCCTGACTCGTTGGATATATTGCTGGCTTGAGTAGTGCTCTGGGTTGTCGCTTTCCATAGTTTCTACTTCCCTTTGTTTGTTTGTTTGTTTTGGTTGTCATGGTCGCTTTCAAAAAAAAATTACTCCTATTTTTCTCTTTGTTTCAGCGAATGCTGGCTTTGTCTTTTACGATCCTGGTGAATTGTTCTATGCGACGTGTTGGGTGTCACTGTAGCCGATAATGAAGAGATGCGGCTAAGTTTTCTATGCCCATGAGCGTAACTGTACTCCTATCTTTCTGTTTGTTTAGTGTTAGGAAGAAGATTCTGGTATGACTTTGTCAGACAACTGACCTAGAGAACAATTCTGGTTTCTTGTGTTCCTAAAACTCTCCGGCGCCGTGTTAACACATTTGTTTCTTTGATGCTAGGGTGTGGGAATTTGTGAAATAATACTAATAAAGCTAGTAGCAAGCTTTTGAATGGAATGGAAGGGGAATCATGGATGGATGGCTGGATGCATCATATTGCCCTGGTGCACGGCGCCTCATGCCTTAATCATGTGTGTTTAGGCTGTTTGACCACTGCTTTCCCCGTTGTTTAATCGATTATCTTAAGCTTGAGCACCCCCAAAGCGGAAACGGGAAAGAGCAAAAGCCCCCTCCTTTTAGACGCCTGTCCCCGCCCTTTGTTGCTCATTCTATCATTATATCTTGTTCAAAAGTAATGCTGTTATTATCAGCCCCAGAGATGTCCTTGTCCCTGAAGATACAGATTCTGGCGGCGTCAGATACAGATGGTTGGAGTTTTGTTCCGTTTTGTTACAACAATCTGGTATGGTTGTTGGAATTCTAGCACTAGTACTACTACCTAGTCATCTGAATTGGCTGTGCATAGGACTGTAACATATCTATAGTCTTGTCCCCGTGGCCTCGTCGCGTACGTCCCATGGAAAAGCGCTACGTTCCAAGGGTAAGGCATGCATGGATGTCACCACAGACGACATGTAGCCAGCGCGGGCAGTCATGCATTCTCCTCTTGGCCGCCCGCCGCCCGGTAGCTCAACGCCTCGCCAGCGATGGCGACCGTACGCACCACCTGCGCCATTATTTTCCTCCCCGTCGGCGTCTTGCCTTCACCCTCACGCCTTCATGCCGCCGGGTCACTCTCTTCCCATGCCAGCCAGCTTTCACACATAACTGCAGCAGCTGAGAAGAGATCCTGCAGCTCAACGGCCCCGGTTTCCATCGAGGGTATCCAGCGAGGCAAGGAGACCAACTCATTGCGTCGACCCAGCAAGCAAGCTGCGGTAAATAATGCTGCTGTTTCACAGCCAAAGGTAGAGAGAATAGAGGCCGGCTCTAGTCTGTAGATAGAGACTAGAGAGAATAGAGGCCGGCTCGGTCGTCGGAGGCCTCGAGAGACACAGCTAGCTAGCAGGCTGCGTCTACTCTGCCGCATGTCGTCTGCGCCATCGGTCGTCGGAGGCCTCGAGAGACACAGCTAGCTAGACAAGGAAGACAGCGGTGCCCAAGCTTCTAGAAGGCGAGGAGGGCGATACGATGGGCAACGCCTGCTTGTCCTGCTGCACCGCCTCGTCCCAGCCAGAGCACGACGCGGCGGGACCTCAACGGCCGCAGCACCGGAAGGGGCCGGTGACGCCCCCGAGACCGAGCGGAAGCAGCGAGCCGAGCCCCACCACCGCCAGGGCGAGCCCCAAGCCCCGGCCCCGCCCCCGGGCCAAGGCCAAGCCCAACCCGTACGCGCACCGCGGCGGCGGCTCGGCGGCGCGCGTGCTGGACGGCGTGGTGCCGCACCACCCGCGGCTGCGGGTGACGGACAAGTACCACCTGGGGCGCGAGCTGGGGCGCGGCGAGTTCGGCGTCACGCGGCTGGCCACGGACCGCGGCGCGGCGCGGGAGCGGCTGGCGTGCAAGTCCATCCCCAAAGCGCGGCTGCGCACGGCCGTGGACGTGGCCGACGTGCGCCGCGAGGTGGCCATCATGGCGTCGCTGCCGGACCACCCGGCGCTGGTGCGGCTGCGCGCCGCCTACGAGGACGACGAGGCCGTGCACCTGGTCATGGAGCTCTGCGACGGCGGCGAGCTGTTCGACCGGATAGTGGCGCGCGGGCGGTACACGGAGCGCGCCGCGGCGGCCGCGGCCAGGACGGTGGCGGAGGTGGTGCGGGCCTGCCACGCGCACGGGGTGATGCACCGGGACCTCAAGCCCGAGAACTTCCTCTACGCCGGCAAGGAGGAGGACGCGCAGCTCAAGGCCATCGACTTCGGCCTCTCCGTCTTCTTCCGACCAGGTCCGCAAACTGCTCATTCCTATGCACTACGTTTTTCAATTCGTTAAGCAGTTTACAGAAAATCACGTGCAGGTAGAATAAAACTGGCGCCGGTTGTGATTTTCATTTTTGGCCTGGCTTTTCTTGGCTTAGTACTACCTTTGTTTATTTTTGAGACCTTCGTTTGAAACCTTTATGATACTTTTTAATAAATGGCTGTGTGCATCAAGAGATGCAGAAGCCGGGGTATATCTCCTTTTCAAAAAAAAGTAGAATAAAACTGAGAATTATGAACAAAGGCAATGCCAGACTATTTTTTTTAACAAAGGCAATGCCAGATATCATTTTGATTTTTCGTGTTATGATTAGTGGGCGTGTGTTTATGCCATTTTTACAAACTGATTAGCGGGCGTGTTTTTTTTATTTGGAGAAACATGTGCATACTACTCCTTTGCAATCTTTGCACGAAAGAAAATTCAAAAATTTCGGCGAAAACATAAATAGAAAGACATATATATTACATTTTTAGTAAGCGGTACATTTCAAGAAAGTTAAAGTACAACAATGATGTGTAGAAACAAGAATTCAGCAGCTCAGAGAAGTAAGAAACGAAATTTCAGAAGAAAAAGAAGAGGGTTAAGATTTGCATGATTGCACATATGGTAAGCAATCCAAACAATTCAAGAAAAGATATTGTGTTTGAATAGTTTATTACTGTTTATCCGGGGCATCCGGGAGCCAAAACTCCATGTGAAATTGTAGCAGTTGATACTGCTTTCGATGAGTCACGACAGTGAAACGTGGCGAAGCTGCTCCCTGAACGGACGGAGGAGCTAGGTCCATGCATGTCTCCACCTCCAGCTGCTTGGTTGGATGCAGCAAATGCGCGCGAGACACGCCGCGCGCCTCTTGCGTTGCGACTTGCGACTTGCGAGTTAACTCAAAACCGTACCGCGCTAAAGTCAACAGAAGAAATGATGTTTTCTTTTCTTTTTTGCGAGATGATGTTTACATACGTCTCAAAAAAAGTTATGATGTTTTCTTTTTTTTTTGCGAGAAAAAGCTGATGATGTTTAATCAATAGCTAGTGCTAGTTAGTACTCCCTCCCTTTCAAAATATAGTGTTTTATCTATTCCCGTGCTTCAACTTTGATCATAAATTTAACCAGCGAGACCGAATGCAGCGGGAGCAAAAGTTATACCAATGAATTCATATTCAAAAGAAGTTTTCGATTATATAATTTTTTTTCTTCCATCATAGTCGGTCTCGTTAGTTAAATTTATGGTCAAAATTATATCTCCGAAAGCACGAGGGAGTACGGAATACTAGTGATTGATTAAAATCTGCTATGGTGCAGGCGAGCGATTCTCGGAGATCGTGGGCAGCCCGTACTACATGGCCCCAGAGGTGCTCCGCCGCAGCTACGGCCCGGAGGTGGACATCTGGAGTGCCGGCGTCATCCTCTACATCCTCCTCTGTGGCGTCCCGCCTTTCTGGGCCGAGACAGAGCAGGGCGTGGCGCGCTCCATCCTCCGTGGCGTGCTGGACTTCGACCGCGAGCCCTGGCCTCGGATCTCCGACAGCGCCAAGAGCCTCGTCCGCCAGATGCTCGAGATGGACCCCCGCAAGCGCCTCACCGCCCGCCAAGTCCTCGGTCGGTGACTACCTGTTCGATCTCCACTCAAACATGCATCGTCAATGGCGGCTGATGATCTATCTACGTATGCATGCATGCAGCGCACCCGTGGCTGCAGGACGCGAAGAAGGCGCCGAACGTGCCGCTGGGGGACGTGGTGCGGGCGAGGCTCAAGCAGTTCTCCGTCATGAACCGCTTCAAGAAGAAGGCGATGCGGGTGATCGCGGAGCACCTGTCGGCGGAGGAGGTGGAGGTGATCAAGGAGATGTTCGCGCTCATGGACACGGACAACAACGGTCGGGTCACGCTGGAGGAGCTCAAGGCCGGCCTCGCTCGGGTGGGCTCCAAACTCGCCGAGCCCGAGATGGAGCTGCTCATGGAGGCCGCCGACGTGGACGGCGATGGCTACCTCGACTATGCCGAGTTCGTCGCCATCACCATCCACCTGCAGCGCCTCTCCAACGACCAACACCTCCGCAAGGCATTCCTCTTCTTCGACCGCGACAGCAGTGGCTACATCGAGCGCGCCGAGCTCGCCGATGCGCTCGCCGACGACTCCGGTAGAGCCGATGACGCCATCGTCGACCACGTCTTGCAGGAGGTCGACACCGACAAGGTACGTTCGCTCCGAATCTCACAAATTGTTATGGCCATGCATGCATTTTCATGTTCATTCTGAATCCATGGTCGTCGCCGATGGAATGCAGGATGGCCGGGTCAGCTTCGTGGAGTTCGTGGCGATGATGAAAGCCGGGACGGACTGGCGGAAAGCATCGCGCCAGTACTCCAAGCAGCGCTTCAAGTCCCTCGGCAATAGCCTCATCAAGGACGGCTCCATCTCCATGGCGCACTGATCATCCATCACACATACATAGTTGATCGTTGTGATGCCTGGTTTTTTATGCATACATCAATTGAATTGTAGTATTCGATTTATTCCCGATCTCGTTGTTTGTTCATATGTTTGTCGTAGGCTGTTTGAGTCATCCGTAGAATTGATGCGCAAATGTTTTTTGTCTGACGTTTGATTATGCTTTTACTTATGTGTGCTGGAAGAGACATCTAAAGTAGCCAAATGATAGAGTGAGCAACAATGGATGGGGACAGACATCTAAAGCAGAGGGCTTTTACTCTTTTCCGTTTTCGCTTTGGGGGTGTGTGCTTAAGAGAAAAATAACAAAAATCCTACACCTACGAACTGTGCCTTACAGGAACCGCCTATGGACAGACGTGTCCTCTGATTACTCTCCCTTTCCCTATGACTAGTGGTTGAGGCCCGCCATTGCGGGCCGCTTGAGAGAAAGCTATGTATATCTCATCATCATATTAATTTTAAAAAAAATCACCCACAAAAAAAATTAAAAAATTATTCTCACGTCACGTGGACATTACAACCATCTTAAAAGAAAAAAGAAAAAAACTTAAAAGAACTTTTCTCAAAAAAAGTCTTCCTGCAATTTAAAAAACTCTAAAAAAATACTTTTTCACCATGACCAACCAGTATGCGCCACATGGTGTAGCTGGTTAGCCACCATTCTAGCGCCTCTTAATGGGTTTAATTATACATGGCCATCCCTCGTGCCGGGCCTAGCCAAGCCCGACGATAAAAGTCCAGGCCCGGGCCCAGCCCAGCCCGGGTGTCGGGCCTAGAAATTCAGGGCCAAGCCCAGCCCGTACATGTAAAAGAACGTCAGGCCTCTTCAGTAAATCATGAAAACGACGAGCTCGGGCCCGGGCCCGGCCCGGCCTTCGGGCTCAAAATCAAGGCCCAGCCCGGTGCGGCATCGGGCCGGGCCGGGCTACCCATGGCCAGGACTACCTGTGATTCAGCTGTGGGGCCAACCAATTTCCAATCAAAGCATTGACACATCAGCGTGTAGGATTTATTCCGTGAAATTTGTCCCTAACTCTAGCAAAGCTCGAAAAATAATGATCGATTAAACAACGGGAAAATCAGCGGTCAAACATGATTAAGACATGAGGCGCCGTGCAGCATGGCAAAAGGATGCATCCAAGCCATCCATGATTCTCTTCCATTCCAAAGCAAGAGCCCGGCCCATTGCTACTAGGTTTATTATTATTAATCAAATTCTCACACCCTAGCATCAAGGAAGCAAATGCATTAACGCGGCGCTGGAGAGTTCTCAGAACACAAAAAACCAGAATTTTTCTTCAGGTCAGCTGTCTGACAAAGTCCTACCAGAATCTTGTCCTAACACTAAACAAAAAATGGAAACATGAACAATGTAAAGCGACCATATATCCAACGAGTCCGGAAAGGAACTACCGGAGCTAACAAAACAACCGGAAATATATGATGCCACCCATACGGCTTGCTAGTTGCTACGTATGCTCTCCTACCATTTTGAATCAATCAAACGAGCGGAGGATCGAGCTGGACAAGTCTTCGTCTGACCAAATCCTACCAGCAGAATCTTCCCAACACTAAACAAACCAGGCAAGTAGATCACGCGCAAGGAGAAACATTTTATTAGGGGCCAGTTCTTTTGGACAGCTTAAAAAAATATGATGCCTCTCTTCAGCTTAAAAAATAAGCCGTTTCACAAATTTGTTAAGACCTCTAAATTAGTTATGGGATAACTAGCCCCAATCAATAAGAAAGATGTCTTATGGGATAAGCTGAGGAGAAGGCGACTTAGTTTTTAAGCTGCCAACCTAGCCGCAACTCTAAGTCATCTGCTACAGTGACCCCCAACACCTCGCATAGAAAAACTCACAAGGATTCTAGTGAAAGACAGAATGGAAATAGTGCAGCTGAAGAACGAGGAGGTCCAAGATGGACAGGAACCGGCAGCAGGGACGGAGATGATGGAGAGCTCCTCGGCGAGGGTGGCAGCGAGCGGCGCGCGGAGGCGCTCGAGCTCGTCGATGACGGCGGCGAGGACAGGCTTGGAGCGCATCACCTCCTTCTGCTCCTGGCTAAGCGTCTTGCCGGACTCTTCCATCCGCGCGATGCGATTCTGCTGCTTCCGCAGCGCGCAGAGACGCTTCGGCAACACCGAGAGGATCGGTCCCTCCTTGGTTTCCAATATTGTCGCCTTGGTTTCAAATTCTTTAACCAACTCTACAAAAAATAACAATTGCAAATCATAAAGTATGTCGACAGTAATAAAAATTGTTCAGCAACACAAAAGCAGCTAACTACTACATGTGTTATCAGACTACCATATTAACTAGTGCTTTTCAGGTTATTATTACAATGTTTTGTTAGCTACATAAATTTATTAGAGACGAGTACCTGAAGTCGTGCCGAAAGAGCTAAAAAGAAGACATGGTTCATAGGTGGGTTCGAACCACCTCATCTTTTGAGCAGAACATTGCGCACCAGATTCGAGCTTCAAACTTTTAGTGTTGACGGCGAGTACATATGTTGTCGGATGGCACATGCTCTCCTTCGCCATGATGTAAATAATATCGTCATCGAGCAAGCTTAATGTAGGGCCTGCAGTGGTGAACTTCCCCCATGTCAAATTGTTTTCCTCATCAAACATCCCAGGCAAGAGACTCGGCAAACTCGGGTCAGTGAAATATATCTCAGATGTATCAACCATCAAGCCGTCACGCCAGACATCATCTGAATAGATTGATCTGGTCCATGTAGTAGCTGTCCAACCATGATCTTGTGCTTGCTTCATGCTGCGAATGGCATTATCTGCATGGAAATTTAACCCAACAAACTTGATCACACCATTGCATATTGTCACATGACGGTGTGGTCTTGGGGTGAAATCCTCATACGTCAAGTGGAACTCAGAGGGATCACACAGTTCCGGTATTGGCAATGGAACGAAATGGATGATAGGCTTTTTATCCAAAACATTGCACAAGAGAATTCCCCACCAAAGATCGATCCAGCCTATGATGCCCTTTCCTGCATATGCCACGCTCATGGCATTATGAACCAATAGCTTATCCTTGGCATTCCTTGTTTCACTATCCTCCTCCGCTATGTAAGCCGCCCGAGAGTGCCAAGGGTTCGTGTCGGAGCGGTAGACATGGAGCGTATATAATGTTTGCGAGACCCGAGCATGAGATATTCGACACGAGGGAAAACGGCAGCAAAGTCTTCTTCACTGTTATTGTCGCTAATAGGTAAGACAGCAACCAAATTTCACGAAAAAGAAGACGGATAGGGCCTTCGGAGAAGATGGAGAGAGGCAGAAACTGGCCCTGCTACCTTGTAGACGAAATAGTCGATTGCCTGGACCGAGAAATAGATGCCGAGATCCAGAAATTAATGCTTTGGCAAGCATCCGCAGTCACCACAATGACGATATGGCCCTTCCTTCCGGCACCCTCTTGTTGACGTTGCCCATCTTCCGGGGCGGCCACACCACAAGATCAAGTGGCACCAGACCAAGTGACACCTGCAGCAGGCAACAACAACAGGAACAAAGACGTTCATCATTCTCAATAGTCAATAAATGTATGGTTGATTGCCTAGAAAGAAATTTAATGCTATGTCTTCAATATAGTACAATACAAACTGCAAGTAATCAAGCTGGTACTTTTTGAACGAAAAAATGCTAAAGGAAAAACCAGTGTTCTGGATCCGAACTAGTTTTTTTTTTTTTGAGAAAATACAGGAGAGCTTGCTTTCATTGCATTGCAAAGAGATAGTCTGGGTTACAATCCTCCTAGCCTCCTAGGAGGCAGTTACAATGCTCATGAGCAAATCAGCGGAACTAGTTTCAAACTGCGGATGATCATGGTGACCATAACCAAATAAACATGACACAAGAGCATTACCAAAAATAGCACCAAGACAAGAGAAAGCTCCTGCTCCACTTAGCTCGGTAAGGCACTTATTCAATGGAGCTAACAAAGTATGTGTCGATTTAGTGAGTAAATTGCAAAAACCCATCACATTTGGGGACCCTAAATCAGAAAACCACCACGTTTCGTTTTTTTTTGCAAAAACCCATCATCATTGTACTGACAGTTTGCAAAAAACGCTGATTGGTTGATTAGAGCCGTTTGATGCAAAACTGACCGCTAGGTCCCACTGTCAGATGCCACCTGGCGGAGGGGGAGACGGCGCCCGTCACGAAGGGACTAACGGCGCTAACTTAGTCAGGTTTGACCAGTCAAAATCGAACCAGTCGCTGCCCCGCAGGCCACAGCGCGCCCGCGCCCGCACGCTCGTCGGCGCCGCCGCCCCGCGCTGTTGGGCTGCCGCAGCCTTCTTCTTTTGGACGCGCCGCCACCACCTGCTCCTGGTCGAGCCGCCCGACGCCGTGGCGGTGGCCATGCACGCGATGGGAAGGAGCAACGAGCGCCGGAGGTGGCCATCGACATGAACTGCAAGGGCGGCGACGAGCTGGATCTAGAGCAAATCTGAAGCTTCGCCGCGCGGTGTGTTTGCTGTCGGGGCTGTGAGCTACCATGTGCAGGCAGATCACATGGGTTAGTTGTAGAGGAGATCAGCGCGCCGTGGAGCTCCACCGGAGGCAGAGAAGATGAAAGCGACGCCGACGGTTCCTCCGTTCCTGGCTCCTCACGCCGATTCCTCTGGGGAAGAGAGTATTCAGACGACGACGAGTCTATTCGGCTAGTTTCAGTGATTTGCGGTGGTCGTTGGCCGCGACAACCATGAACGGCGTCGATGGCGGGCCGAGGTTTGCAACAGCGACGGGGATAATCGAGTATGGGGCGGGTCGCGGGGTTGGGAAATAAGGAGCACTGGAGGTCGGGGAGCTCTTCGTGCTGGTCTCAGGTCACCGGCGAGCTCGGCGTGGGGGAGCTCGACCCGACCAGCGACAGCACCGCCGCTACCTCCAGCCGCCGTGAGCCCGTGACCACCGAGCCTTCGTCCGGCCCTGCCTCCGCCGGGGACAACGGGAACTGCCGTGGCTGCCGGCAATGGAAGGGGAGGGAGGGGAGGCTTGGCCAGCAGGGGAGGCGCGGGGGAGCGGCGCCGGCGAGGCCAGCATCCGTGGATAAGAGGCTCGGAGAAGAGAA